TATTTGGGGGGGTTGGGGGTGGTGCAATAGGAAGACCCTTGACACTGTGGCTGCCACAATGGGTTCAAGCACTGGGAGTAGCTCCATCTGATAGACCTCTAAGCTAGGTGTCGCAAGGACTTCCGCTTCCCCCAGTGGCTATGGGTCCACTCTGATGCCTGGCACCCCCAGATGTGATCCACATGGCTTCCTGTCCTCACTTCCAAGCTACTTCCATGTGGATTCGAACCCCTCTCCTTTCCCTTGGCAGCCGATCACTTAGCCACTTGGCCTCCTGGGCCACTGAGGGATAAGGGACAGCCAAGGAAATGCCAGGCCTGGAAAGGTGATGTGACTTGCCCAAGGTCACACGGTGACTTGTGGGCAATTGCAGTGCCACCCTCCACTCCCAGTGCCCCAGCACCTGGAGTTCTGACGCAGCCTGGCCAGACCCACCACAGGCCATTCCCAAGAGCAAGGATGGAGCTGGTGCCCTGGGCCAGCCACTACTCTCAGTGTGGGCCCTTCCTCCTTCCGCCCTGCACACACAGCCCTGGGAGGGCCTGGCAGTGAGCACACCCATTTTAAAAGCCAGGAAACAAAGCCCAGGAAAGAAACAGACTCCAGATCACACCAGCCAGCCAGTGGGAGTTGTCCAGGCTGAGATCCAGAGTGGCCACAGGCACCTCCACCATGCTCCACCACCACCACCACCCGGGGGGTGGGGGTGGGGGGGCGTCATGGAAAGGCTCCTTCCACCCTCCACCCTCACTCACTCACCCATCACCAACAGTGGAGGGGGGGGGCTTCATCCTGTCTCATTCTCCTCAAGCTTTTGGACTGCTGTGTCTCCCACCCAGCTTCCTATATCTTTATTTCCTGCACCCCCATACCTGTGGGTGCCCTCCTCTTCTTTCTGCACCTCTGACCACCCCTCCTCTTCAACAAGCTCCAGGAAGCCCTCCCTTCCACTCTGTAACCCCATAAGACCACCTCTTCACCTCCTCCCACCATCCCAGCCAGCCCTGCCAAAGTCTAAGGACTTCTGAGCCCACCTGCCCCAGCCCCCCAAAGGCCTCCTTAGACTTTCCAGTCCTCCTCCTCCCTCCCCTGGCCTCCCCCCTCCTTATGTCCTCCCTGCTCCCCCATAACCCCTCTAAAGACCCCCCCTTTACTCATAGTCACACACACACTTCTCCATGGAACCCTCTTCCAAACACGTCTGCATTCACTGCCTCCTTTTCACTAACCACGGCATTCATTTACATTCCCTTCACCCCCACCCCTTCCTCTCTCTCCCCACCGGCCCAAATCCCCACCCCCAAATCCTTTCCAGTTCCCCAGCATTGTCTCCCTCCCCATCCTTCTCCCCCACCCCCCTGTGCAACTACTCCCTCCTCCCCAGCACGGGCCTAGCTTGCTCCCTGGCTCCCCTTCCTTCCCACCCCAGGCCCCTCTGGTTCCACCCCCTTCCCCAGCAGCGCAGCTCACCAGTCCCCTCACCCCCAATATTATTCATGCCTGGGGACTGCTGATGACCTGTCCCGCTGAGGTTCACACAATGCTCGCCCCCATGTCACCCCTGGGGGCCCCTGCGTAGCCCCCGGAACCCAGCAGCCAGCTCTGGTTCCCCACACACAGTGACTGCAGCGGCATCCACTCCCCCTACCCCCACTGGGTCGGCCCCTCTGCATCCCCAGGGCCCCATGGTCCGGGCTGGAACAGCGGCTGCTGCACCCGGCGCTCCTCTCTGGAGGCAGGCCCAGAGGCGCCAGCCCCACTCTGTGCTGAGAAGTGCCAGGGACAGAACATACAGCTGCAGTTACGCCGCCGCCGCCGCTGGGGCCTTGCACACGTGCCCCGCGCAGCAGCGGGCCAGCAGCTCCGGAGCCCACACAGGCACAGACCCCACGAGGGCAGGGAGCAGGGGTGGTGGTGGCGCGCAGGGACAGGAGGGGCACACAAGGAGGGGCGGGAGCACTGGGGAGGGGGAGGGGGCAGGCCTGGCACAGAAGGGTGGGTGCTGGGAGGCACAGCCGCAGTCCCTGGGACAGATCCACTCCATGACCCACACACACTCACACCGTCACACACACGCACACGCACATGAGTCCCCAGACAGGCCCAGGCCCACACGGAGACTGACACCAGCCCATCCTCCAACAAGGATGCGCATATGGACAGTGTGTGTATGTGTGTGTGTTGGGGGGGAGGGGGCGCTGGGGACCCAGCACATCTGTGTAACTGTGCGTGCCACACACACTTTCTCACGGGTCTGCAGGCAGTCACATACACGCACGTCGCCACAGCCACGGGGATACATGCACGGAGACACGCAGCGCACTAACAGGAGGGGAGGGGAGGGGAGGCTGGGGGCGGGATGTAGATGTGATCAGGGGGGGTGAGGACTGTGAATGGAGACAGGGGTATGAATGGGGGGACTTGCCAACTCCGTCAAGGGCTGTGGGGACATGGGGCGCGTTTGAGGGGGGGTGTCAGTGTGGCTCGCATGGGAGGGCTCCCCACTGGGGGTGCTGAAGTGGGCAGGAAGGGTGAGGGTGGTCTGAGGCCCCGTAGAGGTAGGGGGGACAATCTAGAAGGCCTGACTGGGGGGAGGGCGGAGGGGGTCCTGGAAAGGCCTGTGAGGGGCCAAAGGAGAGATTCCCAGGGACACGGTGTGGGGCGCAAGGAGAGGGGCCCGTAGAGGCGGATGGAGAGGAGGGTTGAGCTGAGGGGTCCCGAAAGGGTTTGGCGCCGAGAAAAGGTTAGGGACGAGAGACAGCGGAGGATGTCTTGGGGGAGGGGGAGGAATCCCAGAGGTGGGGGATTGGCAGCTGGGGAGGGTCGCCGCGGCCCGCTGGGAGGCAGGGTCGGC